TTGTCCATTTTTCTACTGCTTCCTGACAGTTACTCATGCCAAACTGAGTGGGCATTTCTCTCAACACAAAGGAACGCAGTTTTAGCTATCAACTCGTGGCAAAAAAAAATCCAGAGGACATGGGAAGCTTGGATCATATCAAAACCCAATATCCCAACCAGGCAGCTGATTTCTAGTGTAAGATGGATTAGTTGTGCCCACCAATTGTGTGTACCAAATGTGGGGTAGTGGTTAAGGTGTGTGTTGAGTCCTCGAGTCAATGGAGAAAGAAGAGCACACATTCTGATGGTAATAACAGCTTTTATTCTCTTCAGCTCTCTCCGACACAACTCAGAGGCTCACAGGCCTCTCTGACTCTAAATAGAATCCCCGGGCAAAAAGGTAACATGAGATGGCGCGCTTTCGCGCCTTGCGCATGCACGCAGGCCAGCGCCACTCAGTCTGGTCCCACGCAGCTTGCAACAGCCCGGGACCATTGCAACGTCCCGAGCCTGCTTTTGCAGGCTCAGGACATAACAGTGTGGGACTAAGATGGGGGATCCTGAATTCAGGTCCACCTACAGTGTTAGAAGCTCACTGGGTGATTTTTGGATCAGTTACTGTCTCTCAGCTCATCCTTCCTCCCAGGCTCGTTGTGGTGGGGAGAAAATGGAGGAAGAAGTACTATATATACACTTCCTTGAGTTCCTGACTAAAAGGCAGGATACACATTTATCAGATAAAAGAATAAAAAGGAAATAAGTTGATAACCTGCTGATAACCAATGGCCTCTGGTAATCACCTCAGCCACCATCAGTTTACAGATTCTATCATCAATGATTGAAAACTCCTTTAGATAGAAATCTCTTTTCGTTGCATTGTTCTTTTGCCAAATGCCACATTCTCAGAAAACATGTACAGGTTCACAAGATTAAGTTATAAAGGCAGCAGGAAATGGGCTTGTAGGATACATTATATCTCAGGAGGGGGTTCTCTTCTGTAAATGATGCTTGTTAATTATATTATTACTCTAAACAAAAGGCCCCATACGTTCCTATAGTGAACAGTTTGAAATTTGTTTAATAGCTGGCTTTGATTCCCCACGATTTGGTTGTATTGATTTTAGAATCTTGGATTGTTTTTATTTCATGGCTGGGATACCGGAGGAATGTAACCTTAAGAGTATGATCCAATAAAAGCAAACTGAACAGTGTTATACTATTACAATACCAAACAAGCAAAGGGAAGGACAGAAGAAAAATGGCAGGGTCAGTGCAGATGTGCTTTGTGTTTCCTTTTCAGATATATTATTATTTTGTCCTATTTCTGCTCTCTGATAAAGACTTAAGCATCTCACGATGAAAAGACACAAGACACAAAGGTTTTGTTCACACAACCATCCTTCTTTTAAAACTTCCCAGCCCCTTATCATTTCCTGGCAGTTTATTCTTTCAACCTGAATATCAATATTTTGAAGTCTGCAGTGGTGTCATCCATTTCTACTCCTTGTGTACGGAGCCATGAGGATTACAATGAGGACCAAAATGACTATGCAGAATTCCTACAAACTCCCATTATTGGTGACACCTCTCTCCATCTTCATCCAGATTAGCTAAGCCTTTGGTAGCAAGTCACATGATTGGCCAGGCTTTGGGAGATGTGATTTTTGACATGAGTAAAAGTTTTGACTCTAAATGCCCCCATCTTAATGGGATTAACTGGATTGTTTGACCTTGTTTTCCTGTTCATGCAACATACTAACTCCCCCATGATCCCAATTAAACAGTAGTGCCTACTAGGGCAGAGAAGAGCCACAATTCAATAATCCTGCACATGTACATGGCCTTGGAATTCCCTCACAAAGCTGATAAATCATAGTTTCGATCCATGTGAATCTGCAGACCATAATAGAAAAAAGGCAAAATAGTAACCACAAGAGTGCAATCAGAGCTCAGTTTGGTTTTTATACAGGTTGCACATAAAAATGGGTGTGGAGTTTCAATTATATCATTATGGTTGCCAATTTGACTTTTAAAATCATATTCTGCACACACACCTGTTTGAGTTACCTCATTCTGGAATTCAACAGCCTCTTTGTGCTATCTAATGATATCCTTGATCTTTTCTAGCACTATAGCGCTCCTACAGCAGAATTAAGGAAAGTATAGTCCATGAGCAAGATGTGGCCTCCATTTTTTTTCAGCTCATAGAATTCTCCCAGACAGCTTCACTGTGATTTAGTGGCAAAATTGCCTATTTCTGAATGTATTTATTTTCTCACAGGTTTCATGCACTTATTTTGTACTCACCCCTTGGCTCTAACCATTGAGATACTGGCATTATAGCATGGTAATATCTTCCACAGTGCTTGGAGGTAAACAACAACAATAAAATTTTTAAGGGGAAAGACATAAAAAGTTGCCCACCCACAAAGGGCCTTAAGCTGAGCTGATCTCTGCTGAGACCAACAATCACATTTTAAAGTATTGCTTTACAGAGATAACCAATGATCTGACTTTGTGCGTTACATGATACATTTATTGTCTTTTAAGCCTGCCTTTCCACTGAGAACTTAAGGCATATATGAGAATCTCTTTTCTTTGTATCTGAACAATAACAAACTTCTGAGTTAAGTTGGGCAGAGCCTATCTGGCTAGGAATCCCTCAGTAAACACCAAACTCCCATGGGAATTGAACTTGGGTTTCCTTGATCCCACCCAACATCTTAATTATTACACCACACTGGCTTTTCAAAGATATATACATAAGTAGGGAGGATATAGATAATTGTTTGCAGGTCCTGCTGATTTTATCTTTGTTGTTCTTCCTCAGCTATTGCAAACACATCTCTATGGAATATGACTCCTCCAGTTCAACTGAATCAACGCCTATACAATTCACTCACAATTATATTGATCATACCAAACCAGACAGAAGAGTCCAAGAATGAAAACAGAAAGTTGAACTTGATGCACTAGAAACTGGAGAACTTGTTTCATTCCTCATGTTTTGCAGCCTTAAGTGCATGCACTAGATGGGGATTCCATCTGGCTGGGGAATTCGGGGAATTGAAGTCCACATATCTTGAATCTACCAGCATTGAGAAACACTAATTTAGAAATTTGCCCAAAGTTGTACATGGGTTTTCATGACCATATATGGAGCGGCTGTCATGTTCCCTGTTGGATTTCTAATATTTGAAGATATTTATTTCTGCTGCTTATTTATTGACTGCAGCCTTTGAACCGAATTATAGGTCTATGATAGCTTTAGGATGAAACTTTATCATTGCTATTTGACTTTACAGATAGTAAGAGCAGAGTGTTTTCACCAGTAGCTCCTTTATTGTAAAGTGTTAGGGGAGAATTTTATGCATTTAATTCAATATCTTGATACCATTGGCTGTTATTGCTTTATTATTATTTGGCATGCCCCATTTAAAATATATTTGCTCTGAATGGTTTTTCCTGAATTGGCTTACTGGGATCCAAGTAGAAGATCCAAGTAGAAATATGATCATTTTTGTTTTCTTTGCTTATTTTTATTATTTATTGGATTATGTATTAGATTAAATGTTTGCCTCACTAATATTTGTAAGTGTTTTACTCATTAAAATGGCCCGTATGCTTTTAAAAATAAAATAGACCATAAAATAATATTTGTGCCCAGTGTAACTTTGTTCTGTAAATCCCTATGCATAAGCTATGAATAAAAGAATGGAATAAAAATTAGAGTTTGAACAGGCTGAAGTTAGTTATGAATACTTGGCAGATTGGCAATAACAAAAAGGAGTTGTTTGTATTTTTTAAAAAATGTGACATTCCTTTGACATAAAAATCTCAATAAGGTTGTTACATATTCTGCCACTCTATGCTTGGGAGGTATGTCAGCTGCAGTTTCAGTATTTATTCGTTAAAATATAAATTCAATACTCAGCAATTTAATTCATGAGTCTCTTATTTAGAATAATGTATACAAATCATATATAAAATTTCCTTCACTCTATAATGAAGTGATAAGTGAGTGGCTGTCATAATTGGGTTGTAACGCTGGGATAGCCTCAGAGAACGAGAGTTTTCTACATCCTTTGCTGCCTTTTAGTGTTCATCTGGATTTTTGGAACCCAACTAGTGATAACATTTATCATGTGAACTCAAGGTCATAACTGAGAATTTTCCTGGTTCTCCAGAATTCTTCTTCAGGCAAGATGTAAAGCTAAGAATGGGAAGAGAGGACAGTCTTGTTTTTTTGTTTCTTCAACCCAGGAGCTGAGAGAGTCCCAAATGCAACCTGAAACCACATCAGCCTCTGCTGTTTTTATCATTTACTTCTTGACATTAAGAGGAAGACACAGAAACATATGGATAAGCTATCTCGATGTAGTGTAGGCAATTCCACCCCACATTCAGGCACATGGAGAATCAATTGGTCAGGACCTAATGAGCCTGAGGAATAGATATATAAAGATTATGCAGGGCATTATATCATTTGCATAAAAAAGGTGATAGAAACATATGATTTTAAAATTTATGATATGCAGGAATTTGCCACATGAAGTAGAGTAGTTGTCATCGCTATTTACTAAATGATAAGAGCCAGGGTTTTTTACTTCTCTGAGACCAATGATAGTAGCATCATAAAAATTCCACAAATGGTCAAGAAATATTTTGTATATGGTAAAAAAGGAAACCATACATGTGATTTTTAAAAAAAAAAAAATTGGCACCTGACTCTTAAATTCCCAGACTGGCTTTTAAATCAATGGCCAGAAGCTTTCAATTGCATTCCAGAAGATGACCTTATCTGTGGAAATCCAACTGGAGTGACTCTGTTTGTCTGTTCTGTTAATTTATGTGAAAAGATGCCAAGCCGCTAATAAATGACCCTTGTTAGGGTCTTAATGCATCCCATTCAAAACCATGCACAAAAGGAATACTATGTCACGGAAGGAAGTGAGTATGCGAAAGGCAACAGACAGTGCAGGAAGGCGATAGACTCCAACAATGTAGTTTGTATCCTGTTTTTATTTCTCAGCAGGCCTGTTTCTTAAGAAAAATAATGTATGATGGACAAGACATAGTTAAAATGGCCTCCTTCAATGTCCCTAACTGTCAGACCCCAATTTCTTTGCTACATGATCTATAAGTTCAACATTTTGCCTGTACATGTGGCTTTGGAAGTGTTGGTTCAAAATTATTTCGGCATGCAAGATGCCCTCATATCCACCCTAATTAGGTCCTTCCTTTTGCTCCTAGAAGGTCTCGGTAATAAACGTGAATATGGAAGGATATATTATATACAGCATAAAGCGGGTGCCTTTAGCCATTTCTAGAAACCAGGTAGTGACTCCAGTAATGTGACAAATGCTACAAATGGTCTCAGACCTGCACAACACATTTTGTCTTGCTTTGTGAGATGAGGAAATAATGGACTCAAGAAAGCAGCATGGAGAACCAACATGGAAATCTACTAGAGATCTCTGCTAAACAAAGTACAGGTTGTAAAGTGATTTGAGTCATTGATATAGCCTTGCCTTTAACCTCTCCTGGAGACCCATGTTCCCCTATGTATCCAATTATCCACTCTGAAGAGGACTCTCCATCATTGTGTCTCTGCAAGATATATGGTTTTAAGCCATGTCTGCAAGATATATGGTTTCAAGCCAATCTAACCCCAGAAGAGTTACTCAGATAGAAACAGGTTATGTTCATCAGTAAATAATAGAATTATAATAGAGATCTTCAAATGAATGTAATTCTAATATTTTCAATTAATATAAAAAACTGAGTTATGAGAAGTCTGGGAAATTAACTCGAGTTACATTTTCACATTGTGTTTTCAACGACACACTTTCTAGATTTCAGAGCTCTTCAAAATAAGGCCCTTTCAGTTTATATGTTTTGTTCCACGATCACCTTTGCAATTCTCTCCTGTCACATGTTTTTATGTTCATTCATCGTATACTTTATTTCTGGTCCGTCTATAGTAGAACCCAAACCAGGAAAAAAGGAATCTCTGCAAAGCTGAAGCACTGCAGGTTCTGGATGCTCTGTTCCCCATTGCTGGGAACTCTGGCTCCATTTCCAGGCTTCAGTTGCCCTTGTACTCTGTTCCCTGATAGAGGAAGGATGACTTCATGACTTGTCAGAGCCTCTTCCGCAGCAGCCATTCATCTCTGTGTGTTTTGCACAGAACTAGTCTCCATTAAAGAAAAACATGCTCTTTGGGCTTTCTTCATTGCCTTACGACCCATTTCCTTTCTCTTCCTTATGTGTGAAGTGAACGGTGGGGATATTTTAGGTGTTCAGAGTTTTCTCTCTCCTCCTCACAGTCACTTGTCCACTGTTTTGCTTGGATGGACTTGGGAAAAGAAGGATGAACAGGATCTTCAGTACAGAAAAATGACAACTTTACAGACAGGCAGGTCTTAGAAGCACACAGCATTATCTACAAACAACCAAATGCACAAAACAGGGTCATGAAAATGTAGATTGGAGGGGAGTAGCAATTTATTTTATTTATTATTGGGGAGTAGAAGAAGTACCACATTGAAATGATCCCGGGGGTTTCCAAACTGAAATGTTAAAGAAATTCCATGGTCATCACAGTGAAACCTGTGAGTTCCTGAAAACATACCAAATGACCAGGTTGCACTTTGTCAGGAAACCCCAATTATTCTTGTCTTCCTGCTATTGCTGAAACCTAAACTTCCACATTCCAAAGTGGATGCCAGCATTCTGTTACCTCCCCCTGCCTTAACTTCCTTGTTTTATTTTAGGATTATAAATAGCAGGCATTCCATTGTGTGTTTCTAAGCAGAAGAGTCCTCAGCATGCATAAACCCATCAAGGATGCCTGCTGCAGAAAAGCAATGACCAGCTATAAGTATTTGCCCACTGTTAATAAGCACTTCTTTTGGCCTGCAGGCCCCTGTGCTCTAGTTACTCCAAAGCTACACTCAGCCATCCATAACTGATGAAAAGCCATTTCTTTTCTTCTTTTCAGAGAATAAGATCAGCTCCTGGCAACTCTTCTTACTGTTTGTGAAAATGGGGAGAAAAAGCAAATGGACCAATATTGCACATGGAGAAACAGCCATCCTCTTTCAACAATCCTCTTCTAAGGCCTGATTTCTACTCTTCATCCCCTTTCTGAAGGCAGCCGGTAGCACCTCTTCTTAGTTACATCAAATTCCTTTGCAATTAAAAGCATAAGCATGGCCTTAGCAGCTTTGTGATCAATTACAGGGAATTTTGAAAGGACAAATACATCGGAAATATAATCTGAGGGTAACATAATCATTTCCACATTATTAAAATGAAAATGTTCAAGAATCTCAGCCTATCTATCTATCTATCTATCTATCTATCTATCTATCTATCTATCTATCTATCTTTGGTTATTCGGGTTTTCTCCCGCGTCAAATTGGAAGTGTCTTGGTGACGTTTCGACAAAGTCTCATTCGTCATCTTCAGGCTGGTGTTTTCGGCTTCGTGCTTCTAGGAGCAATGTGTGATCGTAGCTGTTTCTTCCTTTTAACTGCCAGTGGGGGTATGAAGTGATTGGATGAGAGCATGGCTGTGCTCTGATTGGATGGGGGGTTGGCTGTGCTCTGATTGGTTGGGGGAGTGTTCTGTTTGGGTGGGGGCTTTGTTGTGCTCAGGTTAGTCTGAGTTGCAGGGAGATATGAGATGGTGACCATTGCTATTGTTTGGCTTCGCGTTTGTGGTCGTGCCTCATCTTCCTGGTGGGTGTCAGTTTCTTTCATGTATGGATTGGAGGGGTTTAAAGTGGCTAATGATGCAGCTGTGGTCTGGCTTCTGGTTTGTGGTCGTGCTTCATCATCGGTGTGGGTTTGGGTTTGCTTTTTGCGTGGACGTGTGGTGGTGACATCCTGTATGGCTTTCGTGAGTGTGGGTCTGGTGTCATTTTTTGTGTTAGGCACTCATTTGTCAATGAGGGCGGGTTTCCAAATGTCTGGTAGGCGGGAGGTATCATCTCATTTGTTCATGCTGTGTGGGCGTTTTTCTATCTTGATGGCTTCTCTGATTATTCTGTTATTAAAGTGTTCAGTTTTGGCGATAGTTCTGGTCTTTTTAAAGTCAATTTCATGTCCTGTGATTTTAAGGTGTTGGACCAGGGAAGAAGTTGGTTCCTCTTTTTTGACTGAGTTCTTATGTTCTTCAATGCGTGCACTTATTCTTCTGTTGGTTTGTCCGATGTATGTGGTGGGGCAAGCGGTGCATGGGATTTCATATACTCCTTGATTTTTCTAACTCAATTTTGTCTTTGGGGTTTCTTAGGATGGTGGATATTTTTCTGTTTGTGCAGAATGCTGTCTTAATGTTGTGTTTGTGGAGGATCTTGCTGATTCTGTCTGTGGTGCCTTTTATGTAAGGGAGGAGGGCTTTGCTGTTTTCTTGTTCTCTGTCTTGGATTTTAGTGGGGGTTTCTTTTTGGATTAGTTTGGTAATCTTATTTCTTTGGAATCCATTGGATGTAAGTACATTAGTGAGAGTGTGTAGTTCGGTTTTTAGGTGTTGTTCATCAGCTAAGCGTTTTGTTCTAGAGATGAGTGTCTTGGCGACGGAGTTGACCTGTGCTGGGTGGTGGTGTGAGAGAGCGTGCAGATAGTGGTTTGTGTGTGTTTTCTTCTGGTAGATGGTGTGTCCTAGGGAGCCATTCTGACTACCAAACCAAATTAACCAACCTACTCCAAGACTCTACATACAAACCCCTAAGCAAACTGACACCCACCATGAAGATGAGGCACGACCACGAACACGAAGCCAAACAATAGCAATGCTCACCATCTCACATCTCCCTGCAACTCAGATTAACCTGAGCACAACAAAGTCCCCACCCAAACAGAACACTCCCCCAACCAATCAGAGCACAGCCAACCCCCCATCCAATTAGAGCACAGCCAAGCTCCTAACCAATCAGAACACACCTCCATCCAATCAGAACACAGCCAAGCTCTCATCCAATCAGTTCATACCCCCACTGGCAGTTAAAAGAAAGAAACAGCTACGATCACACATTGCTCCTAGAAGCACGAAGCTGAAAATACCAGCCTGAAGATGACGAATGAGACTTCATCGAAACGTCGCCAAGACACTTCCAATTTTACGCGGGAGAAAACCTGAATAACCAAAGACCTACACACACACACACACACACACACACACGTATATATCTTATTAGTTTCTCAAACTATAAAGTAGAGAGATACAAAGAAAAATGAAAATAATGGGAAAATAGAGGAGGAAAGGGGGAAGAGGAAAAAGTGTAGAGTAAAAGGGAAAAGAAAAAGAAAAGCATCAATTTCAAATTCTTTTTGGTGCAGTGGAATAAGATAATAACATACAACCTCAACTTATTGCTTTTACATAACAATATATACTAGCCCAGTGGTGGTGAACCTATGGCATGGGTGCCAGAGGCGGCACTCAGAGCCCTCTCTGTGGGCACACATGCTGTTGCCCAAGCCTCGCCTCCCCCCACGATCCCCTCCTCTCCAACAACCCCCCTGAAGGAGAGTTGCCCCTGAACATGGCCCACACAGAGCAGCGCAGCCAAGGACATGGCAGTCAGGCAGCGTAGACAAGATTCTGCCCTCACACCCCATTGTGCACAGTTGATGGTGCAGGGTGTGGGCAGAGGGCATGACCACCATAACAGTGCTGAGCTGCCTGGGTGATCCGCGGCGGGCCCTGGAGGCAGTGAGTGGCCCTGAGGGCAGGCGGGGTGGGGGATGGGGGGCAGGGTGGGGCGGGGGTGGGATGGGGCAGGGGGTGGAGCAGGAGTGGGGCCAGTTTTTGGGCACTCAGTATCTAAAAGGTTCACCATCACTGTAATAGCCATTTCTATAACAACAATCTATCTAATCATCAAACCTTCAGATCAAAGTTTCATTTTTTTTCTACCTCAAGCACAAAATCCAAAAACAGTTTCCAAGTAGAAACAAAATTAACTGTATTGAAAATCTCCAGGAATCTCTGTCAGTGATGAAGAATGAGAAGATTTAGGAAAACAAATATTATCATTTAATTAGAAATCCAAATTTTTTCTCATTGTTGAGAATGCCTGTGTCTCAGGGATATTTATCATCAGTCACACAAAAAAACAATGGCCTTGTGCCCCCTCCTTACCTTCATTCTTAAACTGGACTTGTATGATGTCCTTTTCAACAAAGTGAATGGACTTCAACTTTCAGAATAATGGCTGGAGAATTCTGGGAATTGAAATCCACTCTTTCTTAAAATCATTGAGGTTGGGAAACACTGCTTTAGAAGATGCTGCAAATTAAAAAGAGAGATATGGCTGCTGAAAATCCTTCAAATAAACTCCTTGTTGGGGAAACCATTTCAGAAGTATTTTTTCAAACACAGGTAGTGTTTGAAAACTTACAACACTTCACTTAGTGACCTTTGAAGCTACAACAGCACTGAAAAAAGTGACATAGGACCATTTTTCACACTCACAACCATTAGTCACGTGATCAGAATTCAGCCGCTTGGCAACTAACTCATATTTATGACAGTTGCGGTTTCCTGGAGTCATGTGAACACCTTTTGTAATCTTCTGACAAGGAAAGTCAATGAGGAAGCCAGATTCACTTAACAACCTTATTACTAATTTAATGACTGCAATGATTCCCTTCTCAACTGTGACAAGACAGGTGTAAAATGGGGCACTACTTACAACAGAAATGTTGGACTCAATTGCAGTCATACGTCGAGGACTACCTGTACAGGCACAGCTGATTAAAATGAATTAGCGAGGAGAGAATTTGATAAATATAAATGTTCACATTCACACACCAACCCCCTTTTTCCACATTGGATCAAAGATCTTAACCAACCTCTAAAGCGTCTTCTACTCAACCTGTTGTTAATCAACACAAGAGTGCTTCATACGAAGGGGGCTTTAGTTCCACAACCAAGATCTCCGCTCCCTGGAAGTATTCTCTGTGTATCTGTTGTTGGCCAGGGACAGTCCCTGGTATAAAGGAGATCCATTAACAGGAACCACAAGGTGCAAAGTCCTGCTCAAATATTTTCCCCCACATGCCACTCCACACAGCTAATCTTTCAAGTCAAAAAAGACAAAGCACAACAAATCAGGAAGTAAGTTAGTGGGGTTGTTGGAAAGATTACAGACTTCATATTATTTTGGTAAACAATGGGAAGGTGAAACAGATCAACACAGCAATAACTGCTCTGTGGAAAAGACCAGATACTTCTGTTTAGTTTCTCTCAGCAACAAGCCTGCGAAGATTGTAAATGCCCATATATCCATCCAGTGCTTTTTTTATAAGAAAAAAGGTACTGGAACTCACATCTTGTTAATCTTTTATTTACCTTTGGCACATAGTCAATCACTGTACACACACCCACACACTCAGTTGTGTAATGAAACATAATAGTTGTCCCCCACAGTAAGCACTCAGCGCCTGACTACATGACCAATCACAAGCCGAGCAGTGCCACAAGTCGAGCAGCCGGACAAAGTACACATGTATTGGACTCGACATACAAACAGCCCGCATGCACCATTTTAATGATTTTGACGCCAACTTGCTACGCTCGATAGGGCAATTCAAGTCCATGCGGACCAAACATCAAATTTTCAAAATTTACTTTTAAAACTTGAAAAATCTGTCAAAAAAAAAGGTGCTGGAACTCTGTTCCAGTGAGTTCTATGACAAAAAGAGCACTGTATCCATCATATAATATTTGAAGGCATCCAGCTTCTGAATAGTTGCTCTATTTTCTTTCAATACACATATCAGATCTGGACTGGGCTGCAAAAATCTGGTGATGTCATCCCCCATTTTACCCAATTAATAAAAGAGGGACAATTTTCTCTGTGTATTCTCCTTATGATGCTCATTATTTTATATTCATCTACTTTAAAAGTTCTAAACTGGGCCAGTGCGGCTTACATCTTACTCTTAAAATATATATATAGCTGTAACACCAAGTAAATTATATTCTAGAACTCCAATGGAACTATGCTAATTTTAAAATATATTGATTTCTGCACAATTGATACCTAGTTTAAACATTACAATAAACCATAATGTGATTTGTTTAGTTTTGATTGGGTGAATGAAATGAAGCAAACCATAGATTAGCTTAATGTATAACCCAGTTTCAGTCTGGAAAGACAATTAACTGCGGTAGTCTTTTATCTGATTTTGTCTGATCAAAAAGAACTACTGGCTTCAGCCCAGGCAATTATAGGTACTCAACTCTTTAAAACAGATACTTCTTTTCCCAGGATCCTAGAGAAGCTAAGGAGGGCGTCTCTGGAATCCCAGGATAAAACATGGATGCTTTAAAGAGATCTAGGTAGGTGCTATGTTTCTGTTCCTGTGTATTCTGAAATCCCTTTTGGGAACTACATGCATAGCACCACAGAGCTGTATTATGATGTTGGTGTAGTTCTACTCCTACTTGAAGAGGTAAGTCTAAACGGTGGCTAGGGGAGTGAGGTCAGATCCATATATACTTGAGGTGCTTCATGGTTCAGTTCTTCCCTCTCTCCTTATCATTAGCTACAAGAAATTACTGAGAAAGGCCATCTGTTTGGGGCTGAGGTGTCATCAATTTACAGATGATACCCAGGTATACATCTGGGCTCATTAGGAGATGCAGGGGAAGTCATGACTGATACCAGGGACCAGGGCTTTTTTTCTCATAGAACGCCCAGAACGGAGTTCTGGCACCTTTTTTGGATGGAACCTTATAGGGTAGGCAAGGCGGGTTGTATGATGTGTAAGTTCCGGCACCTTTTCTTTTTTCAGAAAAAAGCACTGCCGGGGACTGTGATGGTCTGGATGGGGAAAAACAGGCTCAGACTTAGTCCAAAGAAGATGGAGTGGGTCTTAATTCAGAATCTGACTGATTCCCTAAAAGTACCATCTTTGACTCTTGAGGGGGTTATGCTTACAGTTTGAGGGTTCTCCTAGATTTATAGCTCCTGTTCAAAGAGCAGACAGAGAACTGCCTCTGCTTCTTACCTTCCTCTACCTCTTCTCTATACAGGTTCTCCTGCTTGAGCAGGGGGCTGGACTAGAAAGCCTCTAAGGTCCCTTCCAGCTCTACTCTATTCTAACTGTGACTAGGAGGGCTTTGCACAGAAACTTTGGTTGAGTGCCAGTTGTAGCCTTACCTGGAGAATTATAACCAACAGTCCCATTTCAATAAACGTAACTTTTACTTGTGGCATTATTTGTTGATTGTACATTGATTCATTTTGCATTTTATATATAAGTTCTATAAGCCAGTTTGATTCCTACCTTCAGGAAGTAGACATATCCCACAAATAACTACTGTAGGAAATAGGATTGTCCTGCTATATACTTTTAACTGGGACTAACCCTCATTGTAAACAGAACTTATGTTTTACTGGATACATATAGAGTTGCTTTATAAAACACACATCTTAACATTAATCATTATGTATTTTCCAGAAAGACCTCTGGTAGGCATTTAGGAAAAGGGAGGTCACTTTATGGTGATTAGTCAAATGGGGAGAAAAAGAGGTCACAATATAAAGACAGAGTGAAACAAAAAATAAAGAAGCAAAGTAAAAACAACGCTGCTTTCATAAATCCAGAGAAGACGTTCCCTGTTTCCTTCTCTTGATATCATATTTGATATCAGATGCTAGAAAAGCTTGAAAAATATCTGGGAATATTTGCAAATAATCTCTGGAAATGCCGAGACATTGAACAAAATTCCTGTTGATGATATGAGGATTTTGCAGTACATATCTTAGGACTGAATGCAACTTAACTGACAATTAGTTGGAAGACCTTGCATGTTACTTGAGCTCAAATCTTGGCACAGCAACTAAAAACTTGTTATCAGTGAACGTATCTATGTTGGTTTCATACATGCAGCAGATGTGAAAGGGAAGATTATTTTAAAGTTATTTTTCCCTTTGGGCTTCCAAGCACAAGAAAAACTTGAGCATCTTTTAAATGAATCTGTGCCAGAATCTGTTTCTCTTTATTTTTTGCATACCCCTATATGGAGGCAAGTTGGAGATGGAAGTAGCATAGAAAAAATGAAACTTTCCTTCATTACATTTGAGAGGAATCCTATTATGGGGCACTTTTTAAGAAATGTTATAGAGTGGGGAAAATATAGGGGTGGGGGGGAAGCAAGTAACGGGTTGCCATATATGGTAAAGATCTCAGAGATGATTGACATTAGGACTTTTTAATGTATGTGTTTATATGATTTATGTAGTCACACATGTGGAAGGAAGGAAGGAAGGAAGGAAGGAAGGAAGGAAGGAAGGAAGGAAGGAAGGAAGGAAGGAAGGAAGGAAAAATAACTTTATTGCCCTTATTGTCATGAAGTGTCATGTGGAAGGAGAGAAGGAAGGAAGGAAGGAAGGAAGGAAGGAAGGAAGGAAGGAAGGAAGGAAGGAAGGAAGGAAAAATAATTTTATTGCCCTTATTGTCATGAAGTGTCATGTGGAAGGAGAGAAGAAAGGAAGGAAGGAAGGAAGGAAGGAAGGAAGGAAGGAAGGAAGGAAGGAAGGAAGGAAAAATAACTTTATTGCCCTTATTGTCATGAAGTGTCATGTGGAAGGAGAGAAGAAAGGAAGGAAGGAAGGAAGGAAGGAAGGAAGGAAGGAAGGAAGGAAGGAAGGAAAAATAACTTTATTGCCCTTATTGTCATGAAGTGTCATGTGGAAGGAGAGAAGAAAGGAAGGAAGGAAGGAAGGAAGGAAGGAAGGAAGGAAGGAAGGAAGGAAGGAAGGAAGGAAAAATAACTTTATTGCCCTTATTGTCATGAAGTGTCATGTGGAAGGAGAGAAGAAAGGAAGGAAGGAAGGAAGGAAGGAAGGAAGGAAGGAAGGAAGGAAGGAAGGAAGGAAGGAAGGAAGGAAGGAAAAATAACTTTATTGCCCTTATTGTCATAAAGTGGTCCTCCCTTAAGGAAGGCTCATATCCCTCCTTAGCTGGATTCACTCTTTGTTTTCTCCAGCAGCATTCTGGTATCTCTCTTATGCCATTTCATCATCCAAAATTGAGAACCTTTTGAGAACCACAAGCATCAGGATGGCTGCTCTTTAATGAAGGGGGACTATTTGTGGTTTCTTGAGTTACATGGATCCGGGTCATTGAATAAATAACTCAGCATACTGCCTACTAGATGAATGTTTAAGCCCAGCCAAATCAATCAAGCCATGGTTTCCTTAATATTTTATGAATCCAGCCACTACAGTATTTCAGGTGGCTACTAAAGCATAGGAGCGAGGCAGGATTTGAAACCATAACTGAAAGACAATATAACAATTCCTCACCAACTTGGGCAGTGGTGCATTTCAGCTTTACTTCCCTTTATACTGAGGCTAGTTTTTTTTCTAAAGTTCTTAATTTCTAGATGTAATGGAGAAGTTTGACCTTTCTGTTTATAAAAAAAAAAAGATGTGTTTTCCTGGGTACTTAACAAATAATTATATTTTTTTAAATAATTGAAGCATAAAGCCTGCCAAGAAGGTACCTCTGTAAAAAAAACAATGAGATGTTATGAAAGCATGGAACATAACAGCATTTCTGATCTTCTGACGTGGGTCACCAAGTCCACCTGTCATGAGTACAAGGACTCACCACTCCCATTATCCCTCATCTTTTGCTACTCAGACTTTGTGCTGAATGAATCAAGAACACAGTCCAAAGTCTGGCCTGCAAACCTGCTTTTCATAGGAAAACAAATACTATTAAGAAATCTTTAGGCTGGCTTTTCTTCTAATAACACTGTATAATTCTTGGAACCATAGTACTGTACTTTCCGGCGTTTAAGACGACTTTCTAAAGCATTGAAATCAGCGCTGAAGCTGGGGGTTGTCTTATACGGCGAGTCGTCTTATACGCCAGAAATTACGGTAGTTTCCGGCGTATAAGATGACTTTCTAGGCATGCAACTTGGCGCCAAAGTCGGGAGTCGTCTTATACGCTGGGTCGCCTTATATGCCGGAAAATATGGTAGATATCAATGATACTCAAGCATACACCAGTTTGGTCCAGCCAAAGATCAAAGTATATG